TGATCTCTTACATGATAGACGAGGGGGGAGTGGTTGAAAAAGTGAGCAGGGCTGGTATGGACATTGATTTCAATGGCGAGATGAGTGTGTGCGTTGTCAGATGCGTTTTGCTCTCGAGATTTGCGGAGAGTCTGTTTCGTGGCATCTGCACATACGCCGCTCTTTCTTCTCGGTGTTTGTTAGGGTTTCTCGGGTGTCGTAGATACTGCGTGGACAATGGTGTGTTCGTCTAACATGGTAGCAAATACATCTCTCTTTTCGTGCTTGTGCATCTTTGATAGTGTCATGAGGTTAGATAAACATAATTTAACGTGTGGCATTGATGGTTTTGTTGATGTGGTGGGGGTGGGGGGGGGGGGAGAGAGAGAGAGAGAGACGTTGCCAGTGCCCCGCATCCGGCCTGAGTCCGTATAGGATACCGTAGAAATCACTGATGTGACGTAACGGCTTTTGAGATCCACAGTGGGCGAAGAGCGGTGCACTGTTCAGTATTGTACTGTAGTGCTATACACAGGATGACACAAGATGATTGCAATGAAACGCCTCTTCATGCAATTAACGGGGCTACTAGCTAGCTAGTTGACTTACCTGCTAGCTGTAGACTTGTTGACTAATCCTATCGTTTTACTAGAAACCAGCAAAGCAGAGGGCCGAGTAGGCTGGCGACAACTCACATGTCGAAATGGCAACAGCGCCGAATATTCACGGCGATTCGTCACTGTCGAAATATCTTGAGCTACGTTTTTTGTGCAAATCTATTGGCCCTCGTCCCTCTCATGCAAGCAAGTCCCTATTCGCCCCCGTCACTGCGCACAAGTCCGAGACGCGTGGAGTCTTCCCCGTCCTTCTCACACATACACAGCGGCGCATAAACCGTGCAGACTGCATCCTCTCCAGTGCATTCTCCCCCGCGCCGTCTTTCGCTCCTCCCCCTTTCACGCCTTGAAAGGGGAGCTCTCTGACCGGCGGCGTCGAGAAGTGAAGTCACGACAACTTCCTTCTAAAAACTCTGTGAAAAGGACGCGAAAACAACCCGCGACAACACTTGCGCGTTGCCCGCTTTCCTCTCCAGATTTTCAAGACCATCATGGCTGCTTTCGTGCCCATGTTATCAGTCGCTCCGCCACGAAGCAGCACACTCTCTAGGCCGCGACTCTCTGGCCCGCCGCCCGCAGCGTCGCTTGCAAGTCCCGCACCTGCCGTCCCCAGATTTTCAAGTGCGGATTCGCCATACCCACGGCCGCGCATTCCCTCAAGTGCAATCCCGAAACGTAAGCTTCTATGCGGCAACACACCACGCCACACCTCACTTGGATGGCGATGTTCACTCCCACGAAGCTACGACCATTTGGATTCCGAGGCAGGGCAGTCGGACAACAGTTGGTCGCTCGCGTGGAAGGATAGAGTCGCCTTGTACGCTCAGTTTTCCGCTGAAGAGACGCTTGATATGTTACTCTTGGCTCTGAAAGCCAACTCGTGGTCTGGTCCGACAAAGGACGACGGAATCGATGCCTTGTATGCTTTTGCAAACGTGGACATTTGGGCCTTGACACATCGCTTCTTCGGTAGGAAGATGGACCTTGGGCAGTTCGAAAGATTCAAAAGGGTGCTTGTGGCGTCTCCGTACGATGTTCTACTCAGACATAGACGTATTAGAACCCTCTCGGCGTTGAAGATTAACGAAGAAACCTACATCAGTCGCCGCGTGTTCGAAGCTCCGGGAAGGGTGGATTCTATCTTCACGTTCACCATGTCAAGGGCCTCGTTCGGAGGTGGGGACAACGGGAAAAGGGCATGGATGGTTGATTCCATCATACATGACCCTTCGTAAAACTAAATTCAACTATTCCGCTGTGTTTAGTATCGCGAAAGGAACTCACTGAGGCTTTCGGAAGCCTTTCAACCACATTCATTTCCAGATACCTGGACAGTGAACCTAACCCTTTCACGACCAAGAAGAGGTTTGTGAATACAATGTACAGGTATTCGGGTATTTTGCGCAACATCTGATAGGTAAACTAAATCCCCCGTACACTAAGTGAGGGCCATGATAGGCCGGAAACCTCATGCTGACTTTAGTTTTTGCTATGCAGATGATAGAAACTGGAGAGGCAACTTGAAATACACTTTTCGCACTGCAAGTTATTCCTTGAAAGGCAACTTCGCCGCTCTGACGATGTCAGAAACTCAAGAGGAATTTGACGAGTCAGTATCGCAAAGCACTGCGAATTTGGGCAAGGTTGAAAGCCGGCCCTCAGACCGTTGACATACGTAGATTCGGCAAAGAGAGTTTGAATCTTTTTGTTACGTTTTACTTCAAGTGCCTCACAGGATATTCGGAAGCACTAGCAGTCGCGGCAGTAGCATTAGCAATAAGGGTAGGAGTTACTATCACTATTCCTTCACCTTCCGGCCGCGCCGCAGAGACTACAATGAAAAAGGGTATGCTATTTAAGTGGGGTCACATGATCCACAGTCCGACAGATTGTCCATTTGCCTGGGTAGGATATCCATGTTGCTTAGACCCCAACGGCGATCGGTTCGACCTGGTCACTGGCTTGAGTGGATGTCTCAATGTTCATGTCACGAGTTTCAACCATGTTTTCCAGGCAATTCGCCGTAATTTCGTCGTAATTGCCATCCTCAGCAGATGATCCGAGGCCCTGCTCCTGCTGGAACTGCTTCACCGCGGCCTGAGTTTTGGTACTAAAGAGCCCCATCTGCCTCAAGTACATGCTTTCGTTCATGTATCCCGCATCAGTTAGCACCTTGTGAAGAAACTTGACTCGCGGCCCACGGTCTCCAATCTTCAACGGTGCTGGCGGAACTCTGACGTCAACCAACACGTTCTCCCAGACGTATTTGCATTCAGTGAATTTCATCCCTTCCTTCGCGACTTGTTCGTTTCCATGGCAGTTAGTGCATAAATTGAAGTTCTTGCGGTTCGTGCACTTGAAACGAGAGCCCACAATCGGTCTCATGCCGCAACTGGTGCACTGAATTTTGTGATGAACATCAAACCCGCGAGGCCCTTGCTTTCCAATACGCGAGAAGGTGAAACCATTCTCCCATGGCATCGGCCCCAATGAACGCAGTTTGCGCAGTATGGCGACAACGCCTTCATCCACAAGAGCAGTGCTGACAAAGCTAGTAATACGTGAAGTAGTATGCTCACCTACTTTAGGCAGTAAATCCTCATGAAGCGCGGTGACAATGACGTGAATGCTTATTTCTTCTGGGAAACCTTGATCACCAAGATCAGAAACAAGCCACTTGCGGAACGTAGGCAGATTGTCCTTGAGCGCCGAAACGATAGCGCCGGTATCCTCTTCTTTCTTAATGTAACGGACGAGTTTCTTGAAAGATACCTTCACTTCTGGAGAAACGGAGGTAGCGTGTTTCTTGAATCCGCTCTTCCCGGATGGAAAGGCAGATATGTACTGACGAAGGCCATGAAACAGGCCCTTGCGGTACGGCTTTGCGCAGGGTGTCATCGGAGTATCTGCCATACCTCGCAGACCGGCAGTGGCAGGTGCAGCACGGGCATGCGTGGCGTCACATCCCTCATCTACGGACTCCGTCCCTTTCAGACTCGACTCCATTGCGGAAACAAGGTCTGAAACCTTGCAGATAAGGTTGTCCATCTGCGGAATCGAGTTACCAGCATCCGTAGCGGACGCAGAACGGCGTGCCTTTGCTGCCTCTTTGGCCTCTTCGAGAGTGAGGAGTGAGATGCGGAGGGGCTTGGAAGTGTCTTCGATAGTAGAGAACAAGTCGTTGAGCTCGGCGTCGGAATCGAAGGTAATGATGTCTTTGTCCAAATCTTCATACTGAGTGACGAACGGGACAGTGATGGAGAAACGCTCGGCAAGCTGCTGATGAAAATCAGCGAAGGAAATGTCCCGAGTGACGGGCAGACGGCGGATGGTTCCTTCAAAGGTAACTTTCAGAATGATGGACTGGTCCATGGCTTTGGGGCGACGGGAGTGCTCGAGTCGAAGGCAAGGCTTTTCTGTTTTGTTGGAAGGTTTTTAATCGCCGTTGACGAGATTTGGAGGGGTAGGTGGGGGAAAGAGGTCAGAGCTGCGGTGCTGGGTGGTCTTTAAATACAGTGGGGGCCAGAGGTTGTGATGCGGGGTTGCGGACATGTCAGTGAAACATGTCCAGCGCACAGCAAGGCAACGAACTACCCTTGGGTACCTCGGCCAAGTTAATTCTGAAGCCCTTTTTTCGAGGTTGGCACCATATATATCCCTAGCCTACAGTAGTGCCGCTATTGATCACACACTATCCTGCGTGCAAGGAGACTGACCGAACGCAAAAAGTGCCGTCCCATGGAGAGAGTAAAAGAGATGTGCGATTTCACGGAGACGCACCGAAAACAAACCCAGGTAGCCCCGACCTCAAAACGACCAACACACGATTTATCAGTTTCTTTTGCATACATTACTTTGTCTAGTGATTTTGCCAAGCAGGAAACGATACCAATATGTTTTACCTGGGTTCTCCGCCGCCCTGAAGAGACCGGATGGGGAACATGCAGTAGATCTGTACAAACCAATCCCTGAATACCCTGAAAGAGAAAAACAATGCGCTTTGTAAATTGTATGGCTTGTCAAAGTATCCGAAAATATCTCTCTAAGAATCAAGTTGGATGCTCCCTGTACCCGCAATGTAGATATACAGTTTGGTTGCAATAACTTCGTGCACGTTGTCGAAATCTCACGACTTTTCGAACTAGTGTTTGAAATGGCGCATCCCTGTCAGCACGACTGCAATTCCTCTTTCGTCTGCAGCTGCGATAACTTCTGCATCTCTTTTGGAACCACCAGGCTGTATCACAGCAGTGGCCCCGGCGTCAGCTGCAGCGAGTAGTCCATCCGCAAACGGGAAGAATGCATCTGATGCCACAACACTTCCAACCGTCCTGCTTTCTTCCTCCTCAGCGTTTGATGAGGCCTCTTCAGCTTTCCATGCTGCAATTCGAGATGCATCCACTCGGCTCATCTGACCTGCTCCTGTCCCAACTGTGGCCATGTTCCTAACGTACACGATAGCGTTTGACTTGACGTGCTTGCAAACCTTCCACGCAAATAGCAGGTTCTTCATTTCTTCGTCTGTGGGAACCTTTTTGGAAGCAACAGTTACGTCATCTTCATCCCTAGTTCCATTATCTCTTGTCTGAAGAAGCATTCCTCCGGACACTGATTTGAAGGTCATACCAGTACCCTCCGGATCAGGCATGGTGCCCGTCAACATCACACGTAGGTTCTTTTTCTTTGACAAGATTTCCAGAGCTTCAACGGTGGCATCCGGCGCGATGACAACTTCCGTGAAAACTTTAGCAATCTCCTCAGCCACATGAAGATCTACTGTGACATTGAGAGCGACGATCCCGCCAAAAGCAGACGTCGGATCACAAGCAAGTGCACGCAGGTACGCATCTTGTGCGGTGACACCAGAAGCAACGCCACATGGATTGGCATGCTTGATGATGGCGCAGACGGGCTCGGCACACGTGAACTCGGACACAAGTTCAAACGCGGCGTCAGTGTCCGAAATATTGTTAAAACTGAGGGCCTTGCCCTGTACTTGTTCCGCGGATGCAAGCCCGGGACTCTGTCCACTAAATGAATAAAACGCAGCCAGCTGATGCGGATTTTCTCCGTACCGAAGGCTCTGTTTCAGATTGGCTGATATCATGTAGTGGTCCGGGAACGTTTGTTGGAGCTCTGAAGAAAAGCGTTTCGCGACAGCCGCGTCATACGCCGCTAATTTTCCAAAAGCTGCGGCTGCCAGCTTGCGACGCAATTTGTGCGATGTCGCGCCATCATTTTCGTCGAGCTCAGCGATTACATCCGTGTATTGTTGCACATCGGTCACAACGGTGACGTATCGGAAATTCTTCGATGCCCCACGTATCATGGTCGGCCCGCCAACGTCAATGTTCTCAACGCATTCTTCAAAGGATTTCCCGGCAGCAACAGTGGCCTCAAACGGATACAAGTTAACGACGACGAGATCGATCGGTAGGATATCGTGTTCCTCCATCGCCGCGGCGTGGTCTGGATCATCGCGAACGGCGAGCAAGCCTCCATGGATCTTGGGGTGGAGTGTTTTGACACGGCCGCCCATGAGCTCGGGAAAGCCTGTGTACTGGGACACATCGTTGACGGGAATGTCAGCCTCTTGTAGGACGCGAAAGGTGCCGCCCGTGGACAGTATCTCGACGCCTCGTTCCGCAAGGACTCGGGCGAGGCCGAGGAGACAGTTCTTGTCGGACACGGATATGAGAGCGCGGCGGATCGGGATGAGACCCGGGCTCTCGGGTTGCGGTTCCGCCGCTGGGGCGGACGTCGGCGGCTCCATTGGGAATGTGGACGGTGAGGTCGTGTCGATGCCGGATTTGGCGGTTTTATCCGAAGCGGCGCAACACGTGGGGCGTGGCCCGTGGCGTCGTCGTGTTATGGGGTGACGGTTGGAGCGTAGGGGGCTGGTTTGGTTCGCCCGGTTTCGAATGGCGAGTGGAGCAGCGGCGGCAAAAGCCGTGGTCATCCTGGTGAGTAGCCCTTGGGAATAGAAGCCGTGTCGAGGGAGACCAAAAGATGAAATTCGGCCGGCGGCAGACTAAAGAATTGGGTTTGGAGGGAGGAAGGGTATTATGCTACTTGTAGGGTGGGTGACAATGGCCTGGGGACGAGGGCGGTGACGGCAGGTAGTTCATTGGAGATCAACTCGGGGCACACGTGGAAGCGGGCTCTGGGAATTGTGGGCTTTTAGGCGCAAAGTTTGGCGCAAAGTTGGTCGTTTTGCCTTGTGCATCTCCCAGATTTTTCAGGGCGGGGCCAGTAACGGAGGGTACAGTATCATACTGACCGGATCTGAGTATCATAACCTTCCTTGCTGGACACTACCAAGAGCAGCCATTGCATGTAAACTTCTACCGTCCGAGGCCTTATCCATATTTATGGATAACTTCCCTGGTGCCCAGGGAAGTTCAAATCCGTGGGGGCATGTATTAAAACCCCGTAGAGTGACTGGGAAGGCGAGAAAACTCGTTAACACTACCCTTCGGAGTTGCATGCAAAGAAAGGCATCACCACGAGGGCAAATTTGATGGATCGTTAGAGAAAGCCCCATCTTAAAAAATACACCACCGCCACCCGCCATATTCACTTGTCGTCGCCTTTCACTTCTAAAGTTTTTTGTTTCTGTTATTGCGGAAGCCCCTCCGTTCAAAAAGTTCAAAAACCACTAGTCCGTAAGGCGTGGAAACATATTTTCTTTCGATATCAATAGATGAACAAAACAAAGTAAACAGCCTACAGGCGTCAAATGCATCACTTGATCCAGTTGGCGTCGTAGAAAACAAACCGCACAACCGCAGCCATGAGCAACCCGCAGTCACCATCTATCATCCGCCAGCGTATCCACGAGTCTCGTGCAATGCGACCTCTGAATACCTAGCTAGAAGGGGGCTGATTTAATGCCGTCCGGTCTGTCATGGAGGCGGCACTGCTGTTCTACAGAGCGCACATTCCAGACGAACCTCCAGCCATCGCTCTAAGCATATTGCGTGGAAGAAATGGTTGCACGGCGTCACCATCCGATCCCTGGCATGTACTCCAACGCTCTCCATACAAATGCAACACTCTCGCTTCGGTTCATTCGACATGCCCCCAACAAGTGGTCTCTTGTCGCTCCCCTCTTCATCTTCTTCACGGGTACCTTCCTGTGCTTCAATGTCATCTTCCAGACCTTCATCCCCCATTGGAAGTGGACGATAATAGTCATACTTCTCCGGTAAAAATGCTTTTGGAATAAACCACCGGGGTCCAAACTTGTACTGGGAAAGCAAGATTATCACTTGAATTGCCAACCACGCAACCAACGCCATCACAGAGGACGGCTGGGGTTGGATATGCAAGAAGTTCTGCGGGCAGCCCCAGAAATAAAGCGGGATGGCCAGCCGTGTAACCGAGGTCGCGATGATGTATATCGGCAACAGGGGCCTGCGATGATCCTCGACGACGTTGAGGATAATCTGCGGAACCCAGAATGCGTATAGCGCAAAAACGAAGAGGCGGATGTGATTCTGCATTTGATACAACAGGAAAATACCAAGAAGCAGCGACCCGTAAAATCGCGAATACAGCATAGAGAGCTCGCGGCGCATCGCCTCCCATCCTTCGGAAAACCCGCTAGGCCGCCTCGCCTTCCAGATGAGGAGCATCCATCGCATGAGAAAGATGGAAAAGCATATAAACTTGAAGAAGGCTGCCGTAGCGAACGCATTAAACAACGACTGTACCGCGATCCCCATAGTCAAATGCCCCAAGCACAAATACGAATCAGCGACCGCCTGCAGCCCAACAGTCATTAGCGAGACCCTTCTAGCTCCTGCCTGCGTCGAAGTCATCTCCATCTGCCTGATCAGCACAATAACCTGCGCAAACGCGACCACAGTCACCAGCAAAGTATAATTGATTGCCTTTCCAAACAGCTTATCCGTATCTAAAGTCGACAACTCAATGGTCATTTTGGTCTTGCACGCGTCCGACTCAAACGTCCCATGCATCCTAACCATCTCATCCTGCTCGCTGACGTGTTCCTCGGCGCCAGCCGGCGGGCCGACCCCATTACTCAAGAACCCTGGCGCAATGTCAGCTCCAACATCCCCCCTCGCGCTTTCCAGAATCGAGGCGCCGCTCGGATCAGGCACCCCTTGCCCGGGCGAGGCGGCACCGGGCCCGGTCGAGAGCGAGGTATACTCATTCTCCTGCGGGAGACTGTCGGAGTACGAGCCCCGGGCGATGGCGAAGGAGGCGATGAAGGGGCACTGCGAAGCGACGCCCTTGTGGCGCTGTGCATTCGGGCGGGAGCCGGCGAACTGCTTGCGGTGCTCCGTGAAGCGCGGGGCGAGGGCCTGGATGAAGGCCTCCTGGGTGATGTTCTGGGCCGTGAGCGAGTGTGCGGGGCCGTGCGTGTGGGCGTCGTTGAAGGCGGTGTACAACTTCTGCACGGCGGACTGGACGTCCTCGAAGAGGACGTCGCCGATGAGCACGAGGACGCCCGTGGCCCACTCGTACACGCCGATGAGGTGCAGCGAGACTTCGCGCGGGCTGCGGTACGGGCCGTCCCGCAGAAGCAGCTCGCCGAAGACTACGTTGACCCGGGGTGAGAGATCGGACTTGTAGTTCTTCGCCGTGAGGAGGGCGTAGCCCATGCGCTGGCGGAAGGCAAGGTCCGTGGGTCATGGGGCTGGTTCCGGGGGCCTTG